GCCGGAGGCAGCGCTGAGGTAACGGGCAGGGAGGGCGGGCAGGCGGCGGGGCCGAGCGGCGGCGATCGCGGAGCCCGCGGCCGCCGTGCAGAAACCGCCCGCGGGGCGGCCCGTGCGCGGCTCCGGTGCCGCTCGGGGGGAGGACGTTGTCGGGTTTCGGTAACTTCCCCGGGGGAAGGCAGCGGTTGTGCCTGGCTGCTTTACCTCCCTTTAGCCTGAAAGCTTTTCTGTGTTTTTGCGGTGCGCTTTATTCGGATGTGTCTATTTTCCAGTGTCTTCTCAAAATTTAAGCACATGAAAAGAAACCCAACAGAATCGTGACGTGCTGCGTTTAGTACCTGGCTTTGCCTCGGGGAGTTGCCATCTCGCGCCTCCTCGCCGCTCGCCTCGGGTGGCGCTTCCCTGCTGGAAGTTGACTTCCCAGAACTTCCTTCAGCTCCCTCTTCGGAAAGATTTAAGTGCGTTTAACTGCGTTAGCCAAGGGGATGTGTGTGCCCAAATGTGGCACTGAAGACGTAGCTGGAGTCGTTTTAAGCTAGTCAGCTCAGGTCAACCTACACTGCTCCATATGGTCAGCAAAATCCATCAGGGAGTTTGGGAAGACGTGGAGCTGCCTGTTCCTGCTGAGGTCTGTGCTGCTATAGAGATGCTCCTACCAGTACCTGTGTTGCCCAATTTAAAACAGTCATGTCTACATCAAGTACACCCACACTTCTGGCCTCAGTTTAGGCACAGAACTATTTCTCAAGCTAACTAACCCTCATTAGAGCAAAGCAGTTGGTAGTTTTCACCTAAATAAACTGTTGGATTTAGAACTGTGTGGGAGCCCAATTTAACACGGTGTTAATTCGTGTGAAGATGATGGACGTCTTTGTCCTCATGGGATTCTAGCTTGGGTTAATCTTTTGGCCTCCCCTATTGTTGGTAAAATGTGAGGCAAAGTTGGAGGGAAAGGGGATAGGGCAGATAGTGAGATCATAAGTTAGTCTCCATCACCACTGGAGAGGAGTAACTGTGCGGTTGTGTCTGGCAGAACGTGCACCTGGC